TAAAATTTTCAAAAACTGAGATAAGGCAATAATTTTGATAATTTTTATCTAGGTGGAAAAATGTCTCAAAATTTTCGATATTTAAAAAAGTTTAGTAACTTTTTAAACATTTAAGTTATTTGTCAGTTCTAAAGCACTGGTAATTCTTCACTCAAAGATGATAGATACAGTTTAAAATCATCGCATTGCTTCAGGTGTAAAGCACTTAAACTGTGACTTTTTTTATTTTCCTTAGCGACAGAGCTTCGAAAAACAACGTTAATGGTTCAAGGGCATAATCTTAAACATGCTAATTAATTCGTGAAGACGAAATTTTAGGTTACGAAATCAATCACAAAAGATTACTTTCTCTGGCTATGATGAAATTGTTATTTCGTTGTTACTTTTTTAAGATGGATTTGGATTTTTGACCCCCAAGATATGAAGAAATGTTTTGCAAAGGCAGCGTACGAACACTTAGACCCTTTAAAGAAAATTTCACTTTTTACGTATTTCGGGTTAGTTCTATCTAAAAGTCCTCCTTGAAGGCAAACTTTTCCCCATTACTTGATTCAAGAGTTCCCTCGTCTTCTGGATTAGGTTAAAAATTACAAGGCTACGGAGCTGAATATTAGTAGTCGTAAATCCAAAAATTGAGTCGGCTGTGCAACGACGGTTATAAAGTTATAAAATAAAGCTTAAGTAATGTAAAAAATTGTTCTATGAGTTACACTGCACCAGAAACTCTCTTTGGTTTTTAGTGTGAAACACTGTTTTTGGTGATCAGATACACGAAAAATTTTATAGTGGATTTTAAAATATCGTCTGCTTAAATTGATTATCACAATTAAAGTCAAATCGAACTTGAATTTAACTCGAATCATTAAGATTGAGTTCAAGTTCATAATAATCCAATCATTAGATCAAAAGTTATTCGCTGCAGTCACTTTTACTTCATTTTATGCACTGCACAAGACGAGCTAAATTAGAGAGATAAATTTTAAAAATTTACTACAGCGAAACGGTAACGGTTTAAAAATCAATTCTTTGCAAAAAATTCATGTGACATGACATGCATTTTTTTCTCGTAGAGTTCAAAATTTTCCTGACAGATGGTGCTGTTATGGTCTTTTCTAAAGTTTTCACGATGACCATATCTCTTATATAATTAATAAACTAATTTAAGCTCGATTTATCAAGCTAAAAAATATAGTTACTAATCTGCAACTAAACGCTGCTGAAGATTGGAAAAATTAAACAAAAGCAATGAAGAAAAAGCAAAAAAGTACCGATGTTTTTGTCATTCTGGTGTTGTATACCAGGTGTTTTCTTGAAATATGCATTTGGTTTAGTTCGGTCTTAATATTTTATTTAAAATAAATGCGAAATCAATATTTCTTAATGAAAACTGGAAAAACAAAATAAACATAAAAAATAATATAAACTCCTTTCTTAACTTTCCCTATCAGCTGCAACTTTAAAGATGAATTGCGTAGAACGCCGTAAAAAAGTAATTACCTTCTCTACCGTTTCGCTTCAAAAAATAATTACCGGGCTGAACTTCAAATTTTTATGTCAGAGTAAATAAATCAAACAAAAATATGATAATCTGATATCTAAGAGATGTATAATAGTTCGCTTATCTTTAAAATATAATCTAACAACTCTTCGATTTTTTTTAAAAAAATGTTTAAATGAAAAATTTTTAAAAAAAAACGTTTTTTTTTCCCTAAAATGTTAAAATTTTTTCTTAGGAACATTTTTCATTTTTTTTTCGAAGATAGAATGAGTTTAGATAGACAGCCAGGGTTAGATTTCCTGTATCTTACATAGTTAGAAAGTTAAGTCGTACGGGTAAGTGTTTTGGCAAAAACATTTTTCTCTTTTTTTTCGAAGAATGAATTAGTTAAGATGAACATTTACGTCGAATTACCTTTTTATAATTAGTTTTACTTTAATCACATAATTTTGAAATATTTAGCTTTTGTTACTCATTGGCAAAATGGGTGTTGATGGCGTGCACACCTTATTTGGACAGCATCACACTTTTCAACTGTGTTCACGAATAATAGTAAACAGTGAGCATGCGTCGTCATTGCATGCGTTGCTATGGCAACCGCTGCTGCTTGATGATTTTTTTAGAATTCTTTTTTTCACTTTTAATTTTGTTATGCATTAAGTTGCCGAGTTTATTTTTAAGATATGGGACCAGGAAGATCCCATAAATACTTCTTGAGTTGTGAAACAAAAGAGAATTTCGCCATTTGAACGATATTTTTGTTATTTTGTTCATTTTGACAATGGGTAACCTGTGATCGCCTTTCGGAGATCTCAATTTATTTATTTTTATTTATTCACTCATTCATTTATTTATTTATTATTATTTCATCAGTCATATTTGGCACTTACATCAAGTTATATTAGCTATCTTATGCCGAATAAACAGCTAAATTTTAACGAATCGTTAATTTTCTTGCTATTTATTCCAAATGCTAAACAGTTATTTTTAAAAAAAATTTTACACACATACCAAAATTAAAATTATACACAGATCTTTAAAACATTATCCATCTAAACATCTGTAGCGCTTAAAATAATCTTACATAATCATATATTTTTGAAATAATTAACTTTTACTATAATATCATATTTTTGAAATATTTAGCTTTTATTTTTATTTATTTATTTATTTTTTTTTTGTTAGTCATACTTGGCACGTTTGTCAAGTTATATTAACTTATTTATGATGAATGAACAGTTAATTTTTTTAACGAAACGTTAAATGTTTTACTATTTATTCTAAATGCAAGAGAGTTACTTCTAAAGCAAATTTCACAAACGAACTAAAATTAAAATTATACATTAAATATTATCTATCTATGTATCTGTTGTACGTAAAATAATTAGCTTTTAGTATAATCATATATTTTTGAAAGGCTTACCTTTATTTATTTATTTATTTTGTTTGTCATACTTGGCACTTTTACAAGTTACTGAAGAGCCAAAAAAACTGGTATACCTGCCTAATATCGTGTAGGGCCCCCGCGAGCACGCAGAAGTGCCGCAACACGACGTTGCATGGATTTGATCAATGCGTGAAGTAGTGCTAGAGATAATTGACGCCATGAATCCTGCAGGACTGTTCATAAGTCAGGGGGGAGTAAGAGGGGATGGGGATATCTTCTGAACATCACGTTGCAAGGCATCCCAAATGTGTTCAATAATGTTCATGTCTGGGGATTTTGGTGGCCAGCAGAAGTGTCTAAATTCAGAAGAGTGCTCTTGGATCCACTCCCATCTAAAATTTATGAAGCGCTTTTGCCACCCCTTTTTTTCTACACTGTATCAAAGGTATTGTACTGTCTAATAATACTATATCATCAAGTTTGTACAGTGAAAAAAAAAAGTATCGATAAAACACATATTAAAAATTCTATCTAGAAGCCAAGATGGCGATGATAGAGGCCCCTTAATTCACAGGTAACCCGACTATGAGTCCTCAAAAACGAATAGTCGGATCAGATCAACACCTTCGGATCAATTTATTAGTTCGACGTAACGAACATACTGCGCAGTGGAGGTTAAATAAGAAGGATGGCACTACGTTTGGGTTACTAAGCAGCGCAGTGAGGGAAAATACGAAAGATATCATTACGTTTGGACTACTGAGGGATCAAATTTCTTGTTTATGGTAACTCGTGCAGAGGCCTTCTCTCTTCTAAACGGTATTAATCAGATTCGCCAATAGAAACCGCTGTTAATCTGCGGATTTTCGCAAGAGAATAACGATTCGTATTTAACTCTTAGACTAAATCGTACCCATACAACTGGCGCTGGTGAATATAATGTAAATTATTTCTCCTGCTTACTGCAAGAACATAAAAAATTCTGGCACTTTTCGGTTATCCGAAAGCGAAAAAATTTGACTAATTTTATTTAATTTCTTTTATTTTAATTAATTTTCAAGTATTTGAAAAATAAGTAAAATAAATTAGAATAGTTGGCGAAGATTTTGGTGAGGTTTTGTTTTCGTCCGGCTAACCGAAAAGTATCTTTTCTTTAAATTAGAGGGTCACCATTTTGTAAACTTTTAATTAACAAATAAATAAAATTAAATATTAAAGTTAAATTTACTTGCGCATGTTTAACTGAAAAAAACCGATTGTTCAGATTAATTCTATAAAATATAAAGCTGTTATAGTTAAAATTGGGTTGAACTACCGTAGTACCTTTGGCGATAACTCGAAAAGTAACAAAATAAAAAATAAGAAAAAAATAGAAATCAATAATCTAATATTTACAATCTAAAAAAGTCAAAGATTATCTAAGAAAAATACGGTCAATAATCTAATAGGTTGAAATGAACCATTTTTATCATAATTACTTTTTTGATTTACCGCGAATTCGTTTCACCAAAAAGATTATGAAAGAGAATCAAAAATTGTAACTTTAAAAAAAATCCGTTGAATACTTCATGTATTCAAGAATAATATTTATTCTTTATGATATAATATTGATATATAGCACTATTATATATCAATATAATATTATTATGTATTATTATATGATATTATTATATAATATTACTGTACCAACAATATTTATACTTAAACGGTATTTACATATGTTTCACAAACCATTTTGGCCAAATCTGAAAAAAGTCACCAAAGCATCACATTGGTATCCATGTTATGGCGTATTGCAATACCAGCACAGTGCAAATCTATTCCACTCAGTCTATAAATCACTACGTGGAAATGAATTTGGAAGTCAACAAAATAAATTTAGCACGATGTTGGCGAAATTGGTAGATGGGATAATACGTGAATACTTATTAAAACTAATACGAATTAAGGCATCAGCTTAGCCTACTATTACGTACAAAGGAAACAGATTAGTTTTTTTCCTTCATTGTTATATTCAAGAAATCTGATTAGTTGAACACAGTAGGAATAGTTTCATTGCCTTTGAATAATGCAGTGGTGTATAAAACTTTCCTAAGACACTGAAAAACGAATGCATACATTCATAAATCTTTAATCGAGACGGACGACAAAACTCATCTTCCAAGAGTATTCGTTGTGCTCTGTTGTTGCATTAGAGAACGTTGCAATTGATTATTTTCTTTAAAAAAATAAAAAAAGTTTTAAAGGATTGCCTCGATGAAAGTGTAAATGCTTATCTTAACAGCAATTCTAAGGTAGTCTACACATATTATTACTTTAATTTATTAAACGAAGTACAGCAACTGTATAAAAAAATTCATTACGATGTGTTTTCATTCCTTTGCGTTGGCCAATGACTTTTGACTAAAGACGTTAGATTCTCGATGCGTTGTCCTAGCTCTTCTATCATACCATTTTGCTTGTCAAAACGAAATTTCAGATCTTGCATATCGAATGCCAAATTCTTCTTCAGATAAAGATCAAGACTTTTCATACACATAGCCAACTCGTCCACTTTAGAATTTTGATGATCAGGTGGCTGATATTTCTTCAGTTTCATGCGTTCTGAGCAAGCGAATCTATTTTCTTCTGCCTTGTGCTTTACGTTAACATTCCCCGTCGTTTTCACAGACAATTCTCTAGTTTTTCTCCGTATAGAATTCAGGTATTCAGCTCTGTTTCTCAAAACCGCTTCTAATTTCTTATCGTATCTTTCTAGAATGTTCTTTTTGAAATTCTTCATGGTTCTCATTCGCTTTTTCCTCACTTCTTGCACATAATTTTGCCTCTCAAGCATTTTTCTCACCAATTTATATATTCTTGATTGGCGTCGTTTTTCGGCTGCATGCAGTCGTTCCTGAATATCCGATAGAGATAAAACTTTTCTGGCAGGCGAGGAAAATGTTGGCGCTTTACTTGACAAATCAGAAAGCACCAACTCAAATTTTATGCCTCCTTTTGATTGCTTATAGCTTTTTATAGAGACATCTAAAGAAGCGTCTTTCATTTTTTTTAAATTTCAAACAGCAAATCTTTAAATTAACTGATTCATTAAAATTTCAATTTCGAAATATGACGGCAAAATTTCTCTCAGCTAATTATGAGAACGAGAGATTTCATAAACATCTCTATCTCGAGGTATTGAAAAGTCTCGAGTCAAATATCATCCATATAAATGGATGCCATCCCATCTGCATCCAGCTTACAACTTTACTTACAACAAGAACAAGGTAAACTCTGATTGGTGGAGCAAATTACATCATCACAAAGGGAGGCAGCCTGGGATTGAAATTCCCACACTGGTCCTTCAATTCTAAACAGCCTCCTTACCGAGTGTGTAACTTATATTTTAGGTCCTGAGGAGGAATTTTTTCCTAAACAGGGACAGAAGATAAAATTTATTTCTGTCTTCTTTTCTTTTTTTCTTTTTTTTTTTTTATCTGGAAATTTTGCAGGATTCACGGAAATTTCCCAATGCAAAATATTTGAATTCGATAGTAAAAATAGTATTTAAATAAATGATTTAAAAGTTAGAATTTTGTGTATAATATTTGCTTATAATATTAATTATTTAATATTTATTTATCCAAATGCAGTAAAATTTAGTAATCCAAAAAGCAATTAGATATTCTTTTCTATGCTTTTATTAGAAACAATGGATACCTAACAAACGTAAAAAAATTCTACACGAACATTGAGTTAATTATTTATTAAAATTAATAAAAAAATACTTTATATAAAAATTTTTAGTTATCTAAATTGATATTTTTGCATTTTACAAATCCGATTGTAGAACTTTGGGGCTAAAATAACGAACCAACAATCTTGTCTAATGTTCCATTAAATAATTAAAATTATTCAATTAATGTTAATAATTTCTATAAAAATTAAATTTTAAACTTTGAATTATCCAGTATAATATATTATTACCTTGCGCAAGTTCAGTTTTTGAGCCAATCCAAGAAAACAGACAAATCAATTGTGGTTCTTAACTTCTGTATGAACGCGCATTAATAATTATGTCCCACAACCATCTGTGATATTTATAACCCAACAACTTAGTTACGAAAATAGTTTTAAATAATTTTGCAAGATAATTGTAATTTCAATAAATTTTCCCTTCTTTCTTTATATGTTCCTATTTGGCTTTTATTTTGTATATTTGTGATTTTTTTACTTGATTTTATTTTGTTTACCAATCGATATCCTTGTTTTTTCTTTGGTGCTCTTCACAATATTGAATTGATACATATAGCTTGGTTTTGCGGATATAGAGCACAGCTTTTGCGGATATAATCGTGTGAGTTCATCACAATATTATATCTTCACGTTATTTTTTTTTTCAGTTTAAATACATTTTTATTTTATTTTTAAATTTTTTAACAATTTTTCTATATTTTTTTTCTTCTTTTCTTATGTTTTTTTGCATTTATATCCATGTTATACTTCGTATTTTTATTCGTATTCTTATACAATGAGCCCTATGGCTAATAAAACATTGATAATTTATATATGTATATATATAGAAGGAAATTGAAACGAAAATAAAACACATTAATTAATAAGTTGCTTTTGTTTTTTGTTTTTTACTAAATGTGTTCTACTTTCGTTTTAATTTTTTTAGTGCTCTTCACACAATTGCATTGATATATTTTGTTCTGACTATATTAATACAATAATGGAAAGCACTCCTTTTTGCTGACATAATCCTATGAGCTGACGCTGTTATTATACCTTTACATTATTTTTTTTTCCGGGATTTTTATTATTTCTTTAATATTTCTTTTTTCTTAATTTTTTTAGAAACATTTTATTTCAATATTTATTCAATCTATTTTAAAAAATCAATGTCAATTTTATTTCAATATATTTCAAAATATTTTATTTCAATAATTTTTCTTCTTCTCTTTTCATTATCTGTTTCTTTGTTTTCTCTATATTTTTAATTTATTTTATGAGTTCTTCATACTTGCAGCTTATACGCAGTAAATAAAACGTATTAATTTTCTTAACTTTAACTTATATGGGTTGCAGTTCGAAAAATTAATAGCAAAATTACTGTCCAGGAGAGTACGTTGAGGCTCAACGAGGTTTCATTCCTAGGGTCTGCATGCTGCAGCTCGACCAAACGTTTTACGAAATTTCGGCTATAGTGCTCTTGCATTCCCTGATTCCTTTTATAATATTCTTGGTAATCCAAAGGACGATTTTTAAACAATTAACTTTTTCGTATTCTACTGGAAAAATTTTGACTTTAAAAAATGGTTCGTTTCTGCAGCAGTTAATTAATGGTTAAAAGCACTAAGAGGAAGTCAAGGACTAGGGTTCGATCTTCACTGGTGTCATGAAAGCTACCCAGCTGCAGATCGATGGATATCAACTTGTCTGGAAAGTAAATCTTGCGCAATGGTGACCACATTGCCATTATCGTACCGTTGGTCACGGAAACATGGAGTCTTAACTTTCATGACACCTACAATCAACTGTGGATTAAACTATTCTATCCAGACAAGTGATGTATTATTTATTAAATGTTTTTTTCCTCGCTTATTTAAACGAAACTAGACACAAGTCGGTAGATTTCATAGTTCAAATGCTGCAATGTTTTTTTCTCTTCTATAAAACATACTATTTTCGAATTGTACTTTGTATGAAAATTCCCTTATAATCCCCAAACTATTTATCCTATCGGCACCATTTTTTTCAATCATTTCAGGGTTAAAAAATATTACATTGGAAAATAAAGCCCAGATAACAATTAGTAAAATCAGATGAATAGACCAGTATATCAGATAGAATAGATATTTGATAGAATAGATAATTGAATATTGATAGATTCTGATAATTTATAGAATGGATAATTGAATATTGATAGATACTGATAATCGATAGAATAGATAATTGAATAGATGAGATGAATAATACCAGTGAAAAAATAGTCCATTTTAGACATCCTTTTTACTTCGAACTGTTATTTAAATGTCTCTTTTGGGGTTTCATTGGATTAGGAGTGAAAAAAATGCATAGTAGCAATACCTCACTTGTCTAAATAGCCATACCAGATGCATAAATAGGTACAAGTACAAATTGTATTTTTGCACGTAAAATCACTAACTATATAACTACTAATCTGTTAGTCTGATCGTCTCAGATTCATTTCATTCCATTTAAAATAAAGCTGAATCGGAAACAATATTTTATTTGTCTATATAGCAGCAAGCTTTTTCTACTAATTCCCCTTTTAACTCTTATTGCCGTAACTGCTACCTCATGTAGTTTTTACCACTTACTATGTGAAGGATACTTGATAGGTCTTCAGAGGTTTGCCAATGGTTTGATATATTTTGTGACCATTTAAAACACTTGTTTTAATATACTAATCTATGAATAAAAATTATTTAAAAAGTAGTTAAACTACCTGAAAACTTACCACCACTTATTAATTCTAATGGTAATTAACACACAAATTTCAGGTAGTTTCCAAGTGGCAAACGAGTCAATTTATTGCATAGCAATATTTTCTATTTAAATTTTCTTATTGCTTTCAATAGATATTATGTTAAAATAAGACATATTACAGAATGCTAACTCAAGCTTTTGCCATAATTGACCCCTCTTTATTTCATTTCTCCTTTTCTTGAGCAAAATAAAGTAATATTGTAAAGTTACATAGTCTTGTTTTAATAATCTCTATAAGTATAAATTTTATAAAAAAAAATTTTATTTTAAAATATAAAAGAAAATTATAGAGTTAAAAAATATATATTTACATCGATAGTATTCTGAAATCTTACTATGTATAAAACCTAATGATGGTTTTGCAGTTTTCTATTGTTATCGGTGCATTTTAATGGCCAGAAATTCACATGGTAGTATCCAGTTTTTCCACATTAATTTTCATATTGGTTTGGTTGTCATCAGCATAAAATTGATTTAAGTCATAAAGGTATTACCTCCCTATAAATATTTCTGCATCCCTAATTTAACTGTATTTATTTACCTGTATTGTTATTAATACGTTTTTGACTTTACTTTCTAAATTGAGAATTTAATAGGATTGTTTTCATTAATTTTAGGAGGAAAATATACTTGAGGGTGCCCCTTGGCGAAATTGGCGACTTATGTTTGGCGTTATTCTTGTTTGAGCGGGACATCGTGGTAACAGGAATGGCGGCCAAAACATAATGATATTTCAATAAAACATTGGAAAATTTCAACAAAACATCGGCAAAACTTGCAATGAACCCAATATGAGCAGAATTAATAAACCCAATAAAAAGGATTTTGAATCGAAGCAAAAATTAATGGAGTAGGAGCAGAAAGAAAAGGAAAAAAACAACTCACTTCTTTATTAAGCTTGAATATTCTCAGAATATGCACAGAATTATCTAATAACAGTTAGATACTGTCTAAATTTATCATGAATAGAATCTGTGCACCTCCATCGACACATAAATTAGACGAAATACGAATCGAAAATGGCGTCTGAACTAGCGGTCACATTTTTTTTTTAAATCCTTTTTTATGACTGCCCACATACCTTCGATCTTATAGACCAGATTCAAAAGTAATCTTACCAGCCGGTATCCAACGTAGAACTAACGAACCTCTGAAATTACATATACCGTTGAACATCTAAAAATAAGTTAAAATCTAAACCAATCAGAATCACGATTGGGTTTCAACATCGCCCAACTTGGCGATCAACCGCGATCACAACTTGGCGAGAATCAAGGGGCACCCTCAAGTATAGTCTACCCAATTTTAGTGTTAAAATAACTAAATTCCACGTTACATTTTAAGAATCGCTGTCTGATCTTATTAACCGTTATACAATTGTTATTCTTCGGCTCAAATTACGTTAATACACTATTATGAATTATGCTTAAAGAGATTCATTAAATGCTTTAGAACTTCACTTTTGCATTCATGCACAAAGTGAGAAAGGAAAAAAAAAATTATATACATCCGTGTGTTGTTGTGGCTTATCCTCCAATGCCTGACAAAGTCAGACAAGGTCCATCAGACCGTTGACCCTAAGAAAATCGAGGACCAGAAAGGGGGATGAGTATATGTCCTCTCCAGAAAGTCCCAAATACATGCATCCGTTCGTTTGGTAAGCAAAAATATTAAATTACAGTTGTAAACTCAGCAAATTTGTTATA